GTGCTTCGCCAGCCCTCCCCTCTGGGAGCCGGTTCCTTCCAACTCACCTCTTCCCCTTCTCGCCTACTGGCTGCACCCGACAGATACGGACATTGTCACTCAGCATCTCGGCAGCTACGCCAGCCCTCATTTTCAAACCTGGTCTTTTTTGCTCTCATACAGTATGGTAGGGTCCCAGAGCTGCCATCACAAACGTCAGCCACGTTGATGGCGTTAAGGACAAACGTTGATTTTCTCACAGATTTGGGGGCCGTGAGGGTGACATCTGGGGGTTGGAGAGACACTCCCCTGAAAGCTCTGGGGAGCCCTCGTTGCCTCGTCTAGCCTCTGCGGGGTCCTGGGGCGCCGTCCTTGGGCGCCAGCACTCCCATCTCGGCCTCTGTCTTCCCACCGGGGTTACAATTAACGCTTAACATCGCCCGTTGTATGGCGTGACTGTGGGAGGGGAGGCATGTTGGAATAATAAAAGGAAAGCCTAGTCCTGGACTGGGAATCATGACGCATAGATTCCGATGAGCGCTTTGCAGATACTTGTCATTTCACTCTTATGAACCGCGTTACTGGTAGGAGGTCACTTGGCCTTGCTGTGCCTCATTTTAACAGCAGGAGGTTTGTGATTCTGGGCTCCTACGATAGGGCGCCTGAAAGAGCCTCAAGTGAGACTTACAAAGATTTTTCAGGAATGCATAATAGAAAATTACCCTCTTTCTGCGTCCTCAGTTCCTTGATGAAAGATGGAAAATCCAGTTTATGTGGCTTCCGACTGAGAATACAGTGGAAAGTGTTCACGATATGGCCGTGAAACGTGGAAGTGGCTCCCATGACCTGTGGACCAGCCTGGCCAGTGAGGGACCCCCACGTGCTGCATGGGAGGATGCTGGGGGAGAGAGGCCTGCTCAGCTGGCCGGGACTCAGCCCAGGCCACTGGCCTGTGTCAGCAGGAGGAAGGCCAAGTGCCCAAGTAGGTCCTGAACGTCTCACGTAAGTGAGGTGCCCGCGGCCAGGACAGAGAGGAGGATGTTCCATGAAGAGTCGTTGGAGGACATGAAGCTGTGCTCTGACCGACGAGACAGTGTCCAGCATTCACCCACCAAAGACGCGACTTTGATGGAGGTCGTTTACACACATTGGGGTCAGAACTCTGGCCTCTCAATGGTCCACGTGTCCTCAGCTATGCCTGTCGCTACGCCTGACTGAGCAGAGCAGGGCGCACCCTGTCAGCTGTCGGGAAGCGGCTGTCTGGGTCCACAGGGTTGTGCTCAGTTCACCTCGTGAAGCGTCGTGTGATAAACATCCGATCACCCACAACGTCCAAACCTGGTACCGCTGGGTAGCTGTGAGCAGTCGCTGCGTTCGCAGGCCCTTCCCAGGGCGTGGGAAGGCCGCGGTCAGCGCAGAGCGTGCTGGGGGAGGCTGCTCTGCTCTGGGCGGGGTCCCTGCTCGCCTGGTGCCGCGGGCTGGTTGAGTGAACGCGCCCCCCCCGCCCCTGCCCAGCCCCTTCCCACGCTACTGGCCTCGGTACCTGGCGTTAAAACACGGGCCGCCCCGCTTCACGCATGTCTCGGTCTCACTGTGCAACCTTCTTAACAGACCATGTGTTTGTCTTCCCTCCCTGGCTTTGCTCATTCTTGGAGAATGTTCCAGGTAAGAGGTCTGGCGGGCTCCCAGGCGTGGTTCATATCCGCCCAGCACCCCCAGCCTGGGACCCGTCACTGTACCCTCATACTGTCAGCTTTGTGCAGCTGAGACGCCACACGGACACGTGCCCTCTGGTGACCAGAAAGGCCCAGGGAAGCCTGGGCACAGGAGACACAGGGCACAGACTGCAAGACACCCAGAGAGGATCAGCTGACAGCACCGAGCCGGGAGGGAGGCTCAGGACCTGGACGGAGACACTTTCCTTCAGCTACTGGGTTTACGCCTTACACTAACAGCACAGGTGCTTTCCTAGTTTGTGCCTCACCGTCCCCGGCCAGGCCTTTCCGTTGTCTTCCCGGACCTGCGTGGGAAGAGCCCTGCAGGGAGCTGCCAGGGCAGCGCCCAGGCCAGGCAGGCTCTTGACGACCAGCGGCGCGGGACGGCCACGACCGCCACCGTGGTGGCCACGTGCAGGGCCGCACCCAGACGCGGTCTCTCCCTGTGACCACTGGCCACACCGGGGACCCCCGAGGTGGGGTGGCAGGGGTGCTGCTCTAGGGGACACTCAGTTCGGCAGAGACCCTGCACCTACCTCATCACTCATTACCCTGTTTCTACAGATGTGGGTTCCCATCCCCCAAATAATATGATGAAAGTGCGACAGAAGATTTTGCTGAAACTCCCTGATCTTGCCACCTGAGCACCTGTTTGATCGTCTGGAGCTCCTTTGCAGACTTTTAGCGTCTGCATACAGGTTCTAGGCGTTGACAGTCACGGCGCATTTAGTCATGTATCTTCTTTCCCATTGAACACATTGTAAACATCTCCCATGTTTCTATCAGGACCGGCTTCATGAACCCCAGCCGGTCCCCCGCTCAGAAGGGCCCCACACTTGGTTTAACGCTCTGTTGTCACCGTCTTGAAGTTCTTAGTCATTTTGAACACGATGCCCAATGTTTTCATTTGGCACTGGGACCTGCGAATTATGTAGCTGGCTTGGAGACATGAAACTTTACTGAGATTATTAGGTGAGAAAAGCGAGCTGCAAGAAGGAAAATACAATTTATGATCTTCGGAAGATTCGACACAACCTGTGGCTACATTTGCGCGAGTGCACATATGACCATGGCGACTTATTCTGAGATGAGAAGTGGGGGATGTGCTGGTTAGAAAAGGTTTGTCTTAGCTGAAGTGCTTCAGTTATTTACAGGAAGAGCGCAGTGATATGATAATTGTATGATCAACAATAAACTAACATTTTGAGTATGAAAGGAGAGAAAAAATATATGAAAATATTGAATGACTGTCTTTGTATTTTTTTTCTTTGATTGCACCAACTTCAAGGTCATTAAATTAAGAATTGTAGCTCTGCTTCTAAAAGTCTATATTTGATCATCCTTACGTGTGATAAGTGTCCAGTAAATAAATTTTGGTTGAACTTCTCTGTCTAAAATAGGACCTCGCCAGCGCCACTACTATCTTCTGATACCGCTTAGCTTCCTCAGGGACGTTTATTTTCCCACTTGGCACGTGTGTTTGTTTACGCGTGCTCGGTCACCCCACGAGAGTGGAAGCGCCGCGTGGCGCAGCGCCCGCTGCTGGCTTGCTGCAGCACGTGGGGGGAGGCCTTACCCACAGAGGACGCGCAGTAAATAAATAAACAGCTGTTGCTTGCACACAGGTTCCTAGGAAATAACCTGGAATCAGTTACACGCACTAAAGTACCAACGGTTTCACTGGGTGGTGTGATTATGGCTGGTTTTTACCGATTTCAAATAAACTATTTCTCAAATTTTTCTCGGTCAATGTGGAGCTGGGAGGCTCCGGTGGGACAACTGCTGCCTGTGTGAACTCGGTGTTGCCCTGTGGCCGCCGCAGGGAGCCGAGCAGGATCACTGACAATGGCAAGATGACAGGCCTGTAAAATGCTGTGTGGTTTTTTTTAGGTGATCAGGGTGGCTTCATGCATCCCCTTAGAAACCAATTATAATTTCGCCTGCACTGCATCCTGTGGCAGATTGGGTACCTTGTACTTAAGATGAACGAAGTTGGCAATTCCTCATTGCAAGGTCGTTATATTGTGAAGCAGGGACAAAAGAAGCAGGACTTCGGCTTTGCGCAGAAAGCTGCTCCGTGGAAGCTGGGCCGTGACAGCCTGTCCGTTAAGTCCCTGGGAGTGGGCGTGGGAGGCCCGGGGACTCAGAGCATCGCCGTCCTAGAAAACTGTTACGGTTCAGATATATTACACATATTAGATAAATAATATAGCATCTATATGTTAATGTATAATATACAATATGTACAATATAAATCATATACAGCATAGAATAGATCCGAATTATAATGTAATATGTAAATTATCTATTATATGTAATATGTCTGAATCTGTGAGTCAAGAACGGGAAGGAGACGGCATTAGATTCGGGGTCTGTGTGGGGCCACCCCTTAGAGAGGTGGGCGACTCTGCCCCGGAAGTGAATGATCGCATCAGGGACCCGCTTTTGTCTCCCCAGGAAAGACCGGCCGAGCTTCCTCAGGTCTGGAGCTGGCAGAGGTGAGTTGGGATTTCCTTCCGAGGCACAGCGAGTGGGAGCTGCTCGGGGAGGCCTCGGTTCTCGGTCCCCGCTGACCAGGGGGGCGGTCGCAAAAGCGGGGGCGCTCGTCAGGAAGGAATGTAATGCACCCAAGAGGTGGGGGGTGGGCTGTTTAAAGAACAGGCTCGCTTGGTGTTTCACACCCCCCTTCGTAGGAAATAAGGAGATAGAGGCCTATTTGATTTATTGTTACAGTATTGTTATTATGAAATTGACAATAATAATGACAAATTAGAACATTATAATTGCACAGTATTTCACAGTTCACAAAGCATTTTGAGTGAATGACTTTTTTAAAAACCTTTGGAACCTCGTACCCAAATTCCAATAAAATACAGAAAGCGCTTTGTGAGCCGGAAGCTGCCATGCAAACAATGAGTGTGTAGCGGATGTTTTTGAATTTAATTTTGGTAAATTATATGGATTCCAGACTGGACATGGCCTGGTCACAACTCTTATTTCCCGCGAGGTAAATGAGACCCGTGTGTGACTTGCCTAAGGTCACACGGCTGGTGTTTCATAGAGCCAGCCGGTTGTTAGCCATGCCTGCCTCCTAAAATTAATCTCTGCAACGTGAAGAGACCAGCTAATGCACTTCCTGTTATTTTACAGCACCAGCTGCGAGCAACGAGGCTGCATTTTGCAGCATTATTGAAACGTAAGGTTGAGGCTAGTCCTGTCTCTTTAAAAAAAAAAAAAAGCGGGCCCTGAGTTGGGGGCGGGGGCGGTGCTGCTGACTGCGGCAGCCAGCGCATCCAGCCTGCTGGACCCAGTGCAGTGCAGTGGCAGTCACGCTGCTGGGACCTGCTGATGGGACAAAGGGGAACAAAAGCAGGGAGACAGCCAGCGAGACAGCCGAGGCGAAGGGGATGAGGAGGCTTAGGGAGACCGGGGGCGCCGCGACCTGAGCGGCGCGCAGTCCGGGGCCAGCCGCGCGGCCGCCGGCTCGGCAGGTCGCTGCAGGTGTTGGTGGAGGCGGTGGCCGCTTTCCCTCGGGGAAGGAGAGAGAGTCCTCCGGGGCGTGCTGTGCGGCTGTGAGTACCGGGCTCTTTGGGAAACGTGTAGCCCCGGCAGGCGGGCTGCGCGTCCGCGGGGAGGCGTTAGCTGCCGCGTTAGGATTGGCGAGGTCCGCCGCGGTCCGGGCGCTCAGGCACCGGCTTTGTCGTGTTGACCTCCGCCCGGGGTCGCGCTGTTGGCGCTCGGGGTCCGCGGCTGCGATCGCGAGAGGGGGGCCCGGAGTCCTGCTGAGTAAGAAGTGGGTTCCCCCACTTAAATTAAGCTTGCAGTTTAATTTAAAGCCATCGCTCTCATTTTAAACAGCATGCCCTTACAGGACTCCGTACCTGGTAGTTAATCTTATGTAATAATATTTGAAAAATCCTGCTTTTAGTTATAATCTTTATTTATTTGAATAAGTGATCAGTAAATTATTAGAAAGAGTATTCCAGTTTTAACAACAAAAATCTCTTGTTTTGTTTTGTTTTGTTTTTTCCCTTAAAACAAAGTTGATACCTCAGTGAAAGTGCGAGGTTTGTTTCTGACGGGTCAGTTGTTTGGCCTTAATTTTACCCTTTCTGGGGAATGAAAGCCTGCCCCATTTAAGGTGAAAGCACATTAATTCCTTGCAGCTCCCCTGCCCACCTGCCGGAAGTTACACCCAAGGGGAGCTCTTTATTTCTCCACCAATGCAGATAAAAGTAGTTGACACTTAACCGCATCTTATTTGTCACATGAAGAGTACGTTTTCCACATCGTGTTGTTAAGCTACCCAATGATAACCAGACACATGCTAGGTGAACGAGTGGTTATTAAGCCCCACTGGTTTTACTTAGGACTAACCAACCAGCTTTCTTTCCCTAGTCTTGCCTGGAAGTCTCACTACCTGCCATGGGCCAATGACATCTGTTTCTTTTCCCTTTTCCTCTGTGGCTGCTCCCTTCCTCCTTCCTTCACCGTTCTTGGCTTTGGGGCTGGCTGATACCCTCCTTTTCTCTCTAGATCAAGACCCCTCGGTCTCCCTTTCAAGCAAACCTGGCTAAATCCGCCCATATCCCTGTGTTTTCCTCGAACCTCACTTGGTTTGTAAGACCTTTGTCATGATTAAACATGAAGCTTTCCATTCGTCACATCATAGGAAGGAAAGTCTGATTACAGCTTTGTAAGACCAGGATGAGTTTACAGGAGCCTCTTAGGTAGGGTTGCCTGTGGCTGGATTGACTCTCAGAAAGAAGCCTTGGGTCCCCCTCTCTGCTCTGCCACAACCTAGCTCTGCAGCCACCGAACGTTCACTTCCCTACTGTAAGCCTCAGTTCCTTCCTGCGTTGGAGGTGACGGCAGGCAGAGTTCACACGAGTGTCACGCGGTGGGAAGGAGGGGACGCAGGTGAAGGCCAAGCACCTAGCGCGTCCTTGGCACAATGTAACCTGCTCAGCAGGTGTCCGCCACTCCCCATTCAGTCCACGCTCTGCCCATCTTCCCACCCACGGGGAAGCAGGCCGCCATGGTTTCTCATACCACTTCCCTCAAGGAGCACATTTTGAAGTGCTTTTTGACCAAATAGGTAGCTCTGACCAAGCACAAAAAGGAGAGTCAGTCCTTGCTAAAGGCCTCGCGCCTATGAAAGCAGGGCTGCCGTTCCCACGTTGCCGGGAGAGTCTCATCTCCAGGAACAGAAGGCCGGCTCCCCTCGGGGGCGGGGGGGGCTCCCAGGAGACCCTTCACGGCGACGGCAGTGGGGTGACGACAGGGACCATCCTGCCGCGAGTCCACGTGCGGGCCGCTCACTGTGATGGATGCAGAGGGCGCCAGGCTGGGAATCAGGACAGGTCCGTTGCTGTCGTGACTGCGGACAACTTGGGGGGCACTGTGCGCTTCCTGTTGCCAATCCTGCCACTGTTGCAGTTTCTTTTATTCTGCCTTTTTCCCAGCTCCCTTCGCTTTCCTTCAACTCTCCGCGGAGCGCGCTGGGTCAGATTTCTAGGAAGGAGCTGTGCGCCAGCACCTATGGGGACCCTCAGGAGGGTGGAAGGAACCCTGGACTGGGAATCGCGGGGAGGGGCTTGGCTTTGCCTTGGCTTCTCTTTGTGCCGATTGAAAGGTCATTTAACCTCACCTCTAGGATAAGAGGTATGGAGCAGAAATCCTTCAGTTTCCTTCCAGACCGGGACGCACAATGCATATACTTCTCTTTGGGGAGTACTTGCTTTATACCAATTATTCGATTGAAAAAATGTGGTTTCCCATACGTTGTCTGTTTTCATCTCACCATAGCTGTCTGAAACAGGCAGCCCCTTTTAGCAGATTATAAAATATCAAACTGAGAAAAAGAGAGGGCGGGCTGATGATATTTAAGTTTGCTTTTGTGCTGAACAGGAGTGAGTCCTCAGATTGCAAGCCCGGAGCTCTGCTCCCCATGCTGGGTCCCTTCTCATGGTCTTGGTTTCGTAAGGAGAAACCTGTCCCACTCACGGCACTTTGACATCCAGACCGACGCTGGTTTCACATACTCTGCCCTAGGTTAGACCGTGAGTCTGTTGTCTAGTCCAGAAAACACAGCCTTTGGTGGCTCACATGTCCTGAAACGCCAACACTTTACAAAGAGCCATGGCCATTCTATTATCTCAATGGGCAATCATTTAAACTTCATAGACCTCATCTCATTAAAGTACTAAGTGCTAGAGTACGTATTTGAATTCTTATGTATCTGAAATCTGTGAGCAATTTTACGTAGAAGTAGACATTTAGCCTTTCTCCTTGTTTTTAATGCGATGATACATTTAACTGTTAAAAAAGTTTTCATGGGATTATCAGATAAAACACAAGAAATACTGCGTGAAACATGCATTTACTAAAAAAGTCATTTGTTATTTATTTAATAGAAAAATACAATAAAATGATAAAATAATAATAAAAAATAAATAAAATGCAAACTTTACTAAATATATTTTTGTTAAATTAAATCTGGCAACCCAATATAAACAGAACCTTCACTGATGAATTAAATCATAGTTACTTTGAGCGTAAGGATATTAATGTGTTGGATTTTTAAGTTTAAAACATTAATTATATTCGATCTTCCTCAGTTTTCCATGACATGCCAAATGCCTCACTAGTTTTGTTTATTAATGTTTTTGTGTATTATATTAAAAGCTCAGTGGCTGTCCTAAGACATTCTGGTCCTGGAGAGTATAGTAGTATGTCCAGCTCAGCTTCGTATTTCCCAGAGGCCCTGCTACTGAATGAAAAAAAAAAAATACCCAGGATTTTCAATATATATTTTATGGGTCAGATAAACTTGGTTTTGAAACTGGCTCTCTGTCACACTAGCTCTGATACTTCACCCCGTGGACACTCAGTTCCCTCCTTCTTGAGCGCGGCTAATCACAGGTTAATCGCCGCAGAGGTCAGAGGACTGGAAGGAAAGGCCCTGGTGTGGCCGGCTCCCCCAAGAAGCGTTGGTTCTTAAGTATATGAAAGCATAGCCTTTTCCCCTTCAAAATGCCAGAAAATACTACTACTCAGTTAATATCAAATGAGGTACGCTACAATCATATGGTCTATTTGTACTATATTCTTTTTACAAAGATGTATTTGGATATAATTGACGTACCAAGCAGTTTGCCCCTACGGTGTAGTGTTGATATACAGTTTTATCTTCGAAGATGCAAATTGAGCTTTCGAAGGCAAACCCGTGTCCGAGGAGCTCCTGTCCCCGAGCTGCTGCCCCCGGACCCCCGCCCCCCACAGTCAGCTCTGCTCGCTGACAGGCTGCCCGCCGCGGCTAGATCCACTCAATTCCAGATGGGCTGCAAAAGCGGATGTGTATTTTTATAGCTTGGACATTGGCCAAAGGGACTAAATTATTCACTCTTTATTGAATACACTCTAAATCCACGGCCCAGAATCTGACAGAGTAGCAGAGTCAAAGATGCACAAGATGTCCTTGAGGAGCTTGAGTGGGTCAGGAAGACCGGTAATAAAGCACAGGAGCCGTTTGGAATGCTGAGGGGGTAACTTATAAATTTTTTAAATCAAGTTGGGAATACAATATGTTTTCTCTTGTACGTTTGTTTGACATGGAAATATTTAATGACCCCCACACCCCTTTAGCTTCGCCTTGGTGCTCTGTGGAGTGCGTCTAGGCACACAGTTAATGTCAGGTTTATAAATTGGAGTGGCTACAGGGACCGTGACCTTTTCCACAGCCGGGCGTGCCAGTGCGGGCCTGCGTGAGTGACATCACAGTTCTCGCTGCGTCTCACCTCCGGGTCCGCTGATTGATGGGGCGGGCGCACCTGGCGCCCCCTTTCGCGAGGCCGCCGCTTTAAGGCCCTGGCTGACTCCTGTTTTGTTCTGGAAGGCAAGACAGTTATCCTGAGGCTGCTTCCGGGGGGCTTCCCGGGGGCCCGAAGGGTGCCTGTGTTCGGCTTCTTGTTTTTGTAACGTTAGGCACATTCAAGGGTAAATTTTCACCACAGTGCAGAGGATTTAGCCATGTGTGAACCTGTTTGGTCAGCACGGGAGGAAGTAACACTGATTTTTAATCCCCGCATTCAGATGAATGTGTGGCCCATCCTCAGGGGCCTGATAAAGGCAGGTGTGGCTGTCGCCTTTGCTGTTCCCGGGCTACAGGACTGTTCTCGGGGAGCCGCGGCGACACCGGGGAAGCAGCAGAGGGTGTGGCCCTCCGTGCGGTGAACCCGGGAGGGCCGCCCGGGCGCCCTTGCTCCCCCCAGGACGCGGGCGCCTGCCTCCCCCGCCACGCCCCACGAAGAGGCCGTTTGTCCAGCTCTAAGTCTGCACAGAAAGGATGCAGCTCTGAAGTTTGACAGACGCCCTTCGACAAAGAGCAAAGGCATCACACATCACACCGACGTTTGCTGTGTCCCCCTCCTCCCAGGGGGGCTCCATTTTCTTCCCCCTAAGGAGCCCTCCGTCTTCCCACGCCCTTCTCCCTGCCTGCCTCTCCCAGCGAACAGCTTTGGGTCAAGGGCACGTCCGCAGTTACTTATAGAACAGTTATGGGTTAAGGTTTAGGCCCCGAGTCTCCAGGCTCTTCCTGCTTTAAACAGGACGACTCAAAGAAATGTTCCCTTCAGTGAGTGAGGAGCTGGCATATTTCTTCGCTGCTCTTTAACTGAGATCGCATATAGTGCCAGCCCAGCTCTGGGAAAAGCCCAGGTTGCCAAAATAGGATATTTTCGCTGGGAAGGCGAAGGGGTCACTGAGTGGACATTCTCTGCTGGTCCGAGCCAGGGGCAGCGTCCTCGGGCTTCATGAGCCAAAGGAATGGCTGCCCCAGCTGGGGAGGATGGCTCTCCAAGCCCCGTTCCCGGACAGCGAGTCCAGAGCCACCGCGGTCTGGGCCAGCAATGCGCCCAAGGAGGACACAGAGCCATGGGCAGAGAATGCCACGAACATGTTCCATGTCCCCGCCTGTGTTCAAGAATAGCACACAAGCAAGAGGCGTGCCTCCAGTATTTGCAAAAACTGCCTGTAGGTTACTAAGTCCTTTTAGATGTAGTCCAAGTAAGTCTTGATGAAGATCCTGCTTGTGGATAGGGCAGCTTAGCCCCATTTTACAGACGAGGAACATTGGGCACGAGAGCCAATGTGATTCTCACGCTGTGGTCTCCACCACGCCGCACCCCGCTCCCCCAGATCGTAAGTTGTGGAGGCAGCTTTCCCGCCCCTGGGAGAAGGGATGGGGAGAGAAAGAGACAGGACCTGAAGCCTTGGTTGTGACAGGCACTCAATAGCTGGGAGCAAGGTAACAGCTGGAGTCAGAGCTCCCCGCCCCTCTGCCCCCCCACCAGCTTAAGTCCCAGTATGGGGTGGTGCTCGACTTTTCTGGACGCCAGTTTTCTCATCTGAAAAATGAATGAACAGTTTCCTGCCAACCACCAGGCTGTCATGGTACCTACAAAATCACTGTAGTCAATTAGAAGTACCACAGCTCTGCCTTACGATGCTGCATTTTAATTTTACTGTCAGTAACATTTCAACTGTGTATAAAATCTACGTAGAGAGTTAATGAACTACATAAACGCAAAATTATCATGGAAACAGGAAAACCGTGCCAGATTGCTCAGAGCATGGTTCATTGGATTGTCTTGTCCAGGAGCTGTCTTAAATTTATTAGTAGTGGAGCGTTTGAACGGTCGCATTTCTTATTTTTAAATTGTTCGATCACGTGAGATGCAGTATAGAAAGCTACCGGCTTTTATCGCTCCTACAATGTCATTGTTACGGATTTAGAAAAGTGCTGGTGTGATATATTGGCGCACCGAGAAACGGGCGCGTTAGGCGGTCCCAGGGATGCAAAGGGCAGGGAAGGGAACACAGTCGACAGCATCGCGATGGCTCCGTGGGGTGTTGGATGGATGCGAGACTCGTCAGGGTGCTCGCAGGCACCTCGAGAGCGATAGTGCATTTATAATTATGACATTTGTATGAATGGGCAGAAAGTTAAATCTTCTGTCCCTCTGGTTTATTGGTGTTGTGTGTTTGTCATTTTTATCTCGTTTATTTCTTAAAATGGTAGGCTGTAGCGGGCACCGATGGTTACGGAGACTGTTACCAGAGAAAGGAAGACCTTCCGATAGACACATTTTCCCTTCTTTTTCTCACGTAGCTGTTTCGCTTTCAAACATGAGTTGCGTTACGTGTAAAGTCGTAGGTTGGCATTCCAGGCTATTGTTCCCGAAAAAAAGGCACATTGTGAGACGCACACACATTCTCGCCTGGAAGGAGCCCGTGAGAAGGAGGGCATAGGGAGGAAGAGCGTGAAGCTAAAGGAAGCTGCACACAATTTCCCGAGGGAGGCCACGGTGCATGGTCCCGCGGGGGCGCCCGCCGGCTGTGAGGCGGGGGCCGAGGCGGCGCGCTCTGGCGGGGCAGTGGCCCCAACGGCGATGTGATTCGGGGGTCGCTGGGGCGAGGACCCCACCCGGAGTTAGGTTCTCGGGGCGTGTGCTTCCAGCCCTTTCCCGACTCCTTCCTTTACCCTCTCTTGATTTTTCTTTCAGAAGAAGTGATGCTGGGACGCAAGAACCACCAGAGCAAGACGGGTGCCCACCCACGAGGCGGCCACACCTGCTGAGATGAGGGTGAGAAACGCCTTCCCCAGGGACAGCTGCAGCGTCTTCCCCCGCCACCTTCAAAAAGGGATACGGGACATTCTCATGTGAAACAGCTTATCTCTGTGTGGGAGGAAAGCCAGACGTCGCCAGCCTGAAGGACTCCGTTGGACCGGGAGGCATACCCCCAAAAGGCAACCTCTTTTGGGAACCTCGAGGCAAAAGGCAGCAATGTTTTTGGACATCAGATGATGAGCGGCCACCAAGGGGGACATCGGGTCCTTCATTGGTCTCGCAGAGCTGAACTTGGCACACACGCCTGAAGGAAACACCAACGGAAGGCAAACCGAAGGAAGACAAATATTTTCATGCTGTTCGCCGACCAGTGCTCCAGGAGAAGTGATCATGGAGACCAAGGATAATCGGTAAATGAGTTAACGTTTTCCGTGAGCGCGAGGTGCGTTGAGATGTTAAGGCTCTGTGGGCTTTCCCGAGGGAGACATAAGTAGGCTAAAACACAGGGCAGGTTTCTAAAGGTTTCGTAAGAGGAGGAAGCGAGTCAACAATACAGACACTTTAGTTCTACCTGGAAGTGTGTGGGTAACATTTTGAGCCAAGGGCTAGAGATCGTTCCGCGGTGTGTCCAGGTGGTTTGGGATTTTCTGTCTCCCGGTGTGACTTGGAGTCACGGACAGTTGGCTAGATGTGTCACACTTTCGTCTTCACTGCGTGCGTGTGTTAGCACCTCTTAATGGACATAAAATTACTTGGCGAGTATTAAATAAACAGCTGGGAAGTACTTAGAACTGTATCAAATAGCCTGCAAGAAGAAAGAGAGCACACCTTGCTTTTCCTTTTTAAACTATGGTGCTGAAAGGCATGCTTGCTCCTTTCCCCAAGTTTCGTTGCTATTTTATAAGAACATATTCTTATTTTACAAGGTTCAGGATTTATGCACAAATATTGTATTTTGCCACATATAAGGCGCATTTTTTTTGCCCAGAATTTTTGAGTGAAAAATACGGATGCACATTATACATGGGTAGTACTAATTCTGTACCTATCTAAATGTTTTTCATTCTTTTATTTATGCTTATGCATTAAAAGTGTAACTCTAGAAAGCCAGAATGATACCCATATGCAAAATAGCACCCTGGAATACGATAATCAGTTTTGTTTCTAGCTATAAATAAATAAATAAATAAATAAATAAATAAATGAAAATGAAAATGAAATATTTTTTTCCTGAAAGTTTGGGCCAAAAAAGTAGGGGTGCACTATACCCAGGAGCACATTATACATGGCAAAATATGGTATATATTTATGATTACCTCTTAAATTTCTATGTACTCTTCTCTCTTTCCTTAAACATATGACAGGATATTTTTCCATTGATTTTGTCTGCCATATTTAAGTAGAATGTCCAAGAATTGAAGTTTTAGTGCCATAGACCCCAAGGATGTCTGGACATCTTGTAACCCAATGATAGCAACCTAGAAGACTTTTCTTTCCAACCTTGAAACATTGAAAAAAACTCAATATTTGTTCATCTCTTAATTTTTGAAAAGTTGAATGCGACTCTTAACCAATCAGAATTAATTTTGTGACTGGTATTTAAATAAGTAACTGCACACAGGGATTGAGACTACTCTATTTGCTCAATTTTTATTCACCAATTGGAATATGTGATTATTTTCTAGTGTTATGAGAAGTCGTCTAAGATGGATTTTCTTCCTATTACTGATGCTAAATTGTTTAAACATGAGAGAAGTATATGTATGTGTTATCATACATGTTATACCATAGTATTTCTGTGGGTTTTTCTTTTTACCTTCTAAAGTGCTTCTTTATAGTGCTTTCCTCTTAGTTTTAAAAATAGATACTGTTTTCAAATTCAAGTTAAACTCATTTTCATTTAACTTAGCATTGGGCTGATTTGTTAGAAATGATTTCATTTATAATTGATTTTAAGAGCAGAGGTGATATAGAATCATTGATGCTACACTAATTATAAATTTTTAACAAAAATCAGGATTGATTTGAAGCATCTAACAGATGTTGGAAAAACATGTTATATTGTCTTTGCAATTGCTAGGTGATAGATTCTATTCATAGCTAGAAAAAAATATAAATTAACTGAAAACACCTTTGCAGAGATTTACATTATGCAGGTTGGGTATTTAGAATTTCCCTAAAACTTATAATTTACTTAAAGCTAAAATGTCAGCGACTGCACATAGCACTATTTATGGATACATAGAATAAAGTGCATGGGTTGAGACTCAAACCATCAACTTACGATTATTATTATAAACACACTTTTATGAAGGCATTTAAAGCTGGTCTTTGGAGATCATAACCCTGGAAAACTCGACTGCCTGCTCTCCGTGTTGCTGGCGTGTTCCTGGGGCAAGGTAACAGTGTTTATAGTCAACAAGTGTGCGCCCACTGGTCGCTGGGCGTTGCGTCCTGAGTCCCCAGGGCCACGCAGGGCGGCAGAGGTCTGCTCAGAGTCTCAGCTCTAAGGAGAAGGGTCTTCCCAGGGCCCTGGCTTCCTGTCGATGTTTGGTGGGGTGGAGATTAACTATCTGATAAGCACAATACCATGTTGCTAAAATAAAAGCCGATACATTATTGAGTAACCATCTGGATGCTTAGGATAAAAGTTGAGACAATCTCACTTGTGGAAGGCCACTCTGGGATTGGTTTTATCTGATAAGCAATATAAAACGTTGCTAAAATAAAAGCAGATACATTATTGAATATTCCATCTGGATATTTAAGGTAGAAATTGAGACAGTCTTCTTGTTGAAGGCCACTCCGGGATTGGTTTCCACCTCATTGCCTTCAGGAAGATTCTGGAACATCTGTGTGTGACGGGGCAGGGATCAAAGTCCAGGATATGGAGGGTGGATGCGATTTGGGGAAACTGCCCCTTGGGACTCCAAGAGAACAGTTCTCGGGACCGTGTGCTAACGGCTTGGCCTATTTGGGAGGGGTCCAAGCCAGTGGCAGGATCTAAGAGCCCCTCTCGCGGGTCTCGTTTAATAGCCGAGAAAACTAAACCTGTGTGACTTGCTCACACTCACAGGGCTGGCTAAAGAAAACCACTGCTCTGACCCTCGCAACAGGGGCGAGGGGGCGGGCCAACGCCCAAGAGAGCAAAGGCTGTGGAGGTCGAGCCCGCGAGCCCAGGGCGGGGTCAGCGGGCGGCCGACAGATGCGAGGAGGCGTCAAGCGTCGATGACTTCTCCTAACCTCAGAAAACGCAGAGAACAATCAAAGGGTCCAATTGTCAATAAAAATCAAACACCTTAAGTAGCCAATTCCTGTGTGCATTCACACATTTAAATAACAGTCGGTCAGAAAATTAATTCTGATGTGTTAAGAGGCAAGTTCCACTAAAAAGGTACATTTCGCCTGTCTGATGAATAAACACCTTTGAACAGGAAAGAGAAAAGCAGCTATTGAGTTTTCCCAATGTTTCATTTTTGTTTGCCGTTTCAAATGTTGAAGCTGACTCGACGGGGTTCCGGCTGAAGGCCGGCCTGGGCAGCCAGGCGTCAAAGGCGAGGGGCGACGAATTCGATTAGGTATTGAGCGTGATCGGTATGAAAGGTGAGGGGTTCTTGCTGACTTGACTGAGCAGGCTTCTTGCCAAAACTGGGCCAGATAGAGTCTAAGGACAGGGCCCAGTTGAAAAGAGGACCCAGAGGAGCCTTCCGAAGCCCGGCCAAAGAGCCTTGGCCATGTTCAAGGCCAGTCAGGACGGTTCCTCCGCCCCCTGCCTCCCTCCAGGGTCCGCCCGAAGTGCCTGACTCCCCAGCAAACCTGGGACTGCAGCGCACGCTTTCCCGTAGGATTCTCCAAACAAATGTCTGTGTGTGGGGGGGGGTGGGGGGGGGTCCTTGGGATCTGTCAAGGAATGAAACTGACATCGATACTGCCTTGTACATTCCAGCAGGGGGAGACTGAAAATAAACAATGCATCTAAACAATAACTACCGTCTGTGATGCCTGAGAGGGCGAAAAAAAGGACCGGCAGGCAAGGACAGCGAGGTAGGAAGGAGTCCAACAGGTTACGTGGGAGCACATGTCACAGGTGGAAACAGGAGGGTGAAGACGGATGTCACGGAGAAGGTGAAATCTGAGCAAACACTTGAAAGAGATAAGAGGACTCATCATAAGCTATTTAGGGGGCGCGTGTTCCAGACAGGGAAACAGGCGCAAAGTCCCCAGGTCGGGGCTGCTCGGCAAGTTCCAAGGACAGGGAGGAGGGGCGCTGCTGGAGTGAGGTGGCTGAGCCCCGGGCAGCCGGCACCAGATCGCGGGGAAGGAAACCGGGGTGACGGCAGCGTGTTCAGGAATAACATGGTCCGATGTTTTTCCTTCTCCTTCTAGTGACATTTGTAAAAAATTTTTGACACTTTGACAGTTGTTCCCATTCCCCTTTGGCCCCCTCCACCTTACACTTTTTCAGTTAAATTTTTAAAAAAATGAAGTCCAGTTGGTATATCACATTGTATTAGTTTCAGGTGTACAATATAGCAACTGGACATTTTTATACCTTCCAGTGTGATCCGCCTGCTAATTCTAGTGAGCTGTGGACCGCATTTTTAAGTAGTCACTCCAGCCGCTGCGTAGAGGTGCAGAGGTGGAAGAGGGGAACCCCACTGTGGTTCTTGTAACTTTCCAGAAGGCGGGGGCTCCAGCCAGGGTGGCGGCGGCGTTAGGGGGACTTCGCCACTGGCCCCGTGGTAGTCATGTGTCAGCCTCTCAGTGCGGCTGTGAGAGTAGCCTTAGCACCCAGCAGCCCTGGAATACTGCCTACCTTTTAAATGACTATCAGCAAAACTGATTATGGCAGGAGTTGCGTCATTTTTCCAACAGCAATCAAGACCTGATTATCCAGCACCAACAGGATGTCCAACAAGTCAGCTCAGTTCAGACCCTACCCAGAGCTGGCTCAAACCCCACAGGTTAAGGGCTCAGTCCTGCAACGCTGTCCCCCCTTCAGGTGCCAGCCACGAGTGAGATCCCAGGGGTACCCAGCTGCAAGGTGGGGATTCCCATGACCCCCGCTCCGGGTTCAGTAATTCACTGAAGGACTCAGAAGTCAGAAAGCTCTTTACTTATGATTACTATATTATTATAAAAGTTTGACTCGGGGACAGGCACGTGGAAATTGTACATAGGTCAAGATTTGGGGGCGGCCCTGACCAGGTAGCTCAGTTTGTCAGAGTGTTGTCCCAATATGCCAAGGTTGTGGGTTCAATCTCCGATCGGGGCGCACACAAGAATCAACCAATGAATGCATCAATAAGTGGAAGAACAAATCAATGTTTCTCTCTGTCTCTCTTTCCCCCACCCCTTTCTCTCCTCTCTTTCTCCAAAATCAATAAAGAAAAACAAAAAAAATAAAAGA